ATTAGAACAAGGGTGGAAATTGCAAAGGAATATGCGTTGAAGATGTTGTAGCTCATCCCCCTCAGAGTGGCTGCTTTGAACAGAATGTTTAAGCCAACGGTGGAGCATTCTGCTCCCACCATGGCTGCAAATGGCAGCACTTCACTTAGCAGTACCTTCTTGCCATTGACCATCTCTGTTTCTCTGTTTGTGTCTCAGACCATCATGTGCTTGGATTTTGTACACGAACGGTCCTTCAATATTTTTATAAAATGCAATGTCATCCTTAAAGTGTTATTTCAAGCAATCAAGTCCTACATATTGCAAAATTGCCTCAAACAGAACTAGGGAAGGTACGTCCATGGTAGCCAACCTGAACTTAAAATAAAACCTGGGTACTCTACTGGATTAAACTAACCAAGGCTACAAGAAGGAATTCGCTGCATCTCTTTTGGTCCTTCGTTAGTAGAAGGATTCAATTGCTAAAAATAATAGCTTGAGGATGTGATTTCATTTTAGATTAAAGTACAAGGATAATTCAGGAAGTTAGTCCACATTATTGCACAACAACTTCGCTCAATTATTATCTTTTATTTTTTTTCCTAACTGTGTGGTCCCCTACCCTGAAAGGTTGGTAGTTGTCACATTTTTATGGTGGAGAATGGAATAAGATTAAGAGGTGCTCTCCTCCCATTCGTAGTAGGTGTTACCAAGTAATTTATGTCAGTTTTAAATGGCCATTGAGTTAAGTAACATCTTATAACCAAGCTATCTAGATAGTGTGCATATATATATATTAATACCTAGAAAATAGAGATTAAATCTTAAATTTATAGTCAAAAGCTTAAGTAACTTTATTACTAGATTATATAACTAGTAATTATATGGATGGTATATTAACTTTAACTAGTCTTTTGGGAAAGTTGGTTTTATTTTCTTTGTTGGGTTTTCTACCCTCGCTCCTTTAGTATTGCTGGTTTTTTAAGCAACAAGTTGGTTTTTGTATACTCGGGTTTGAGTACCCCTTGTACTCATCAAATAAATATATTAATATTCTTTTGCCTTTCAAAAAAAATGGATGGTATATTAACTTCTTATTGTTTTTTCCTTAACCTTTGTCAATTAGTTAGGATCAAACCAACTCCTTTAGACTGAATGATTTGTCAATAACTGTGTAAGATTAAACATCCTTCTTTCAAGTTTGTAGTAAAGAGAAACGATAGAGAACTCAAGCATCATTGAATTTAATCCAGGTTCTGATATTTTGCACCATTGATCTTTTTGCTACATAATTTCAACCTTAATTATAGCTTTTGTAACAAAGGATGTTGTTGATCATCATCCACCATTGCTTCTTTTGCTTTTCCCCATATCACAGCATAAAACCCAGTGGATATTATTACTGCTCCAATCACACTGCAATACCAGGATGAAAAGATTATACATAAGAGTAGAAATATAAAACCATCAACAAAAAAATAGGAGAGTACCTTCCAAGATACAGAGCATCCCCTAGGAACAAAGCACTCATAGCAGCTGCAATGGCAAT